GGGTGGACGAGCTTCCATGCTGAGCAATTTTGAGAAAACGAAACTTCATTGGAAGTCTTCGAAGCACGAAGTCACGAGACCTGTCTGCTCGTGCTTTCCGAATACATTGGGTGAATGGGTGTGAATGAATGGGTACCCCCTCCCTTTTTTTACTTGTAAAAAACAAAACAAAACAAACATCAAACAACGTACAAGTCATGTGCTTAGAGGTATGTTTCATAACTCTGTTATGCTGCTTTTAAATCTCTGTTTCGTATTCACTAAGCTCAAAATATTTATGTAATTAGCTATCTAGATATAATGTTTTCTTTACTACGGGCTGAGAAGAATGAGACGGAAATCTATTGTCCCTAAATATCACGCGACATTCGAATGGCTGTGTCATGCTTCTTTCTCATTGCTCTGAATAGCGGACAATAATTGTTTGTGGTTATATTGGATTCTAGGTAAGTCGAATGAGCACAGCTGAGCTTGCGACTGATAACACTTTGTCACATAATGTGTCAAGGGTTGCACATACCAGATGGTTCTCACCTTGTGAAAAAAATACAGGTGGCGATGTCTATCTATGTCGATGTCTGTTGGATTCGATACTGTTTTTGTTGGGGAGTCACGTTGGCAAATAGTGGGACAATTGCTGATGAAAAAAAAAAATGATGATGATGAAGTTACTGATACTCGTGCGGGTAGTTGTAGGTTGCCACTGGAAGGTCATACTTCTTTCCTTTCTTGTGTTGTTTCTTTCTGTCTTTCCTGCTACTACTTCTTCCGTATGCTAAATGTCTGTTATTGGGGTCAATTTACTTGTTTTTACTCTTAACAAACAGAACGCATTGAGCCTTATTGTGGAGATCTGGTTTTCTTTATCGTAATAGATAGCACACATTGAGCATTATTGTTTCGATGTGTTTTTCTTTTCTCTAACAAACAACACTCAGTGAGCATTAATGTGTCAAATTGTTTCCTTTTTACTCCCTTTAATACACAATGAGGTAGCGTCGGCAGTCTAATGGTTTATAGGCAACCGGACTCGTCATCGTGGCATTGTGGGTGCCGGGATTCTTCTAGGTTCAGCCTGGTCTTTGTGTGTGCCTGGGAAAGGCACTGCACTGTACACGAGTTTTGTCATCGAAGATGGACGTTGAATTCGGAGGTCCCGCCTCTTGAATAAACTTGTAGCACTTCAAGGGATGTTAGCCAATACAGTTTGCACACTCATCGACTGTTACTGCGCCTTTTTGCTTGTCTTTACTCACACCAAACTAAACATGAGCCAATACCATGGGGCATGTAGGTCCATTTTGTACTCTTTTGTTAAATAATCAGAGTATGGGGGTGGTCGGCTGGTGGTCCGGTGTGGTCTGTTCCTTCTATCTAACATATTATATCGTCTTCATCTCTCCTCTTTCATTCCTGTGAAGCCTATGTTACTCTCCAGTAATACTTCTAATCTTCCGCACCTATACGACCTGTTTGTATTGAAAGTGCCGTAATTCTCTTACTAAAACATTTAAATGACCGATGGACACATACCGTGAAAGATGACACGTTTTATG